GGAAAAGATGAGAATTTATCCACCAGCAGTGTTTGAAACTGTGCCTACGCAGGCTGCGCCTATCGAAATCACAGTCCACTCGGTTAGGGTTAGCAGGGACGCCGGTCACAGTCTAGCCTCAAACCCAATGACTGGGCTCGAAAACGGTCTGCTGCCCCTGGAGTCGAGTGTTTCTTGGAAAGGTGTATATCGAAGAGGATGCGAAGATGTCGCTCGTGTTGTTTTTCATCTGCGCTGAATACCAGGATGTCATCGAGGTAAGCGAAGCAAAATATGAGGCCGGGAACCACCGTGTCGATAAATCGTTGGAATGTTTGTGCAGCGTTTCTCAAGCCAAATGGCATGCGAAGATATTCAAACAGACCGAATGGGGTTGCTAAAGCTGTTTTGGGAATATCTTGCGGTGCCACTGGAACTTGACGGTACGCCTTCACGAGGTCCACTTTTAAAAAAAATCCTGGACCCTTGCAGTGATGCAGTAAATCCTCACTGCGTGGCTGCGGGTACTTGTCAGGGACGGTCGCATCATTAAGAGCTCGGTAATCTCCAGATGGTCGCTAGTCCCCGGGTTCTTTTTTGGGGACCATGTGTAGTTGAGACGCCAATGGACTGTTGGAGAGCCGAATAATACCGAGCTCTAACGTATGTGCAAATTCGTCTTTTGCAATCTTAAGCCGTGCTGTAGGAAAGCGTCTAGGACGAGCATAAACTAGCGGTCCCGTGGTGACGATGTGGTGTTCAACGTCATGTTTCACTGGCGTGTCAAAGTTGTTAAGCGATGTAAGTTGCGTGTAGTTTTTTTAGAAGCGTTTCATACCTTGAGGGTGGAAGGAAAGGAATAGTGGCTTCGATATGCGGTTTTCGGCATATGATTGCATTAACGGCTAGATTGGTGGTATTATCCAGAAGACGTTTGCTGTGCATATCCACGAGCAGATCAAAACGCCGAAGAAAATCTGCACCTAATATGGTGTACAGAACGTCTGCACCTAGAAATATCCAACGGAATGTTCTTCGAAGGCCGATGTCCAGCGCCAGGGATTGTTCTCCGTAAGTCGCAATCGATGATTTATTAGCAGCATGTAAAATGTGAGGAGTTTTCTTCCTCCGTTTTGAGGGGTCAAATGACACTGGTAGAACACTCACCTCAGCCCCTCTGTCGATAAGGAAGCGTAATCCTGTATTACAATCGACGATGGAAAACAGGCGACTGGGTTGTAAGTTGCCACCACTAGATGCCTCTAGTGGTGGACAAGTTCGTTTCCCGACGCCGAGCAAGGTTGGTGACATGGCCGAGCGTCGTCAACGAAAGTCCTTTTGATACCAGCACAAACCTTCGTTCTTCTGGCGTGGACGGCTAGGAGACGAAGAGTATCGTGGCTGGGAGGTTGAGCGGCTCCGGTGGGGGGCAGGAGGACGGGAGACGAGAGCTGCTATTTGCGCTGAAAGCTCGGATATCTGCTGGCGAAGTTCCGTAACCACAGGAGATGCTCGGTAGTCGCTGGCGATGGAAAGTGCGACTTCCATGATTCTGTCGGCCAACTGAGCCAGATCGTCAAGAATCACGGATGGGGTGGAAACGGAAACGTTTGATGGTAGCAGTTGAAGGAACAGCTCTCGCAGAAGGGAGGTATCAAAAGTTTGCAATCTATCACCCACCAACTGCATGCTGCAGTCGTCGAAGAAGCCGGGAGGGCGTTCGGTCCCCGAGCTCTTCGGATGTTATTAGTTGCTGCAGCCGTCTTTGCTCCGATGCGGATGTTTGTTTGATCAGTTCCGAACGAAGCTTGTTAAAAAGATGATCGTCTGGAGGCGAGACGATTAAATCTAGAATCTACGACGTGATGGAATTTCGTAGCTTGGCTGGTGATCCGAGCGGTGACGAACTGCGATTACACTTGCGTGAACCATACCAGAGGGTCCGCTGGACAAAATTTCGGAAGTCGAAACGTGACGGCGGCGACATTTTTGGTAGCGGTGTTCTCGAGAGCCATAGAGGCGAATCACGTCCGGGTCACCAATTGTAGAGAAAATTGTAGAGTCCAATTGTAGCGTGCCTTTTATGATTCATAGGCCGGGAGAACCATGCTGGCGCAAGAGCTCGGGCTCGCCGCGCTCGAGCTACGAGCACCGACTGCGAGACCACGGGCGATTCCATAAATGCAGTTTTTATCGTACCAGTCGGTCGGCCAATTCTTATGTCTCTACACGTTCATGCCGTAAGTTATTCTGAGTCGGACCGAAGAAAAACACACCTGCACGACGCGACATAATATTTCATAACTGAAACAGACGCATTCCTCACTACACTTTTAGACAAATAATCAAATATATTTTGTTAGTTATTAACTTTATCTTAGTATTTAATACGTTAACAATAGTTTTTTTCACAGTCGATGTACGCCGCCGACACAATTCACAGTCGATGTACGCCGCCGACCAAAGCATGTTTTTGCGTTATCACGAAACTGCAGAGTGAAAAAAAAAATGATGCTCGACGAATTCGCGAGCAGGAAGTCATAGGTAATTACCATAGTTCGTTTCAGCATAAGCCCCGACGCAGCCGACGGGACGACGTAATTGGACCAACCAAGCCAGGTCAAAAGCTCAAGTCACCGGGCCTTTTCTGTTCATGATTGGTTCAGTGATGATAGAAGACGTAGAGAAACATGACGAACACCATGACGGTGCTGTTTTGATGCTATCCGATTGGTCTCATCAGCTCTTAGCGTCGGCTGCGTCGGAGTATACTACTCGTTTTTATTTTATTGAATAGCAACTATACGACAACTTACAAAAAAAAAATAACAAAAGATCTTGCTCGACCGCGCATATTGATTTCAAATTTCGGCGAGTGTTAACCTACAAACAAAGTTCGCAGACTGAGAAGCTTCCAGCCTGTATGGTCTGGTCATGATCCGGATTCTTATGCCAGATTACAATTTCGATTTGTGCTTTGATCAAAGTAGTTATTTGTGAACTTGTAAGGCGTCATGAGAATGTAAATGAAAAGGTCCGCTTTACCCTGTAGGGAACTTCGGATGTGTCACTGAAGTAGTCGCCGCTTGAGGAACCTAAATTAATACTTGATGGTTTGCCGGTGACAATTCACAGGGCGTTATAACTCCCCTCTTCCTCTGATTGCCATAAGATTAAAGGGAACTCCTAACCAGTGTTGTAGGCGTTACCGCAAAAAAAAGTAACGAAATACGTTACTCGTTACTTGCAAATAAAAGAAACGCGTTCCCGATCTATGTTACCTCAAAAAATTAATGAAACGCGTTACCGTTACGGATAAAAATAACTCGCGTTACTTTGTTATATTATGATTAACACGTGTTGCTCTTTCGACATTACATGTAAGCATAAGCGCCATATTACAAAAATTGTGTCCATCCAGAAACAGAACATACTTTTCTTATTGTTTCCTACTGTTCTACCTAACTAGCCAGAAGAAAAATGCAAAAGAGAAACGCAAAAGATTCAAAAATTTATATAACTTGGCGATTAGGAACACAAAAAAAATAAATGCGTAATTTTTAGAGTCTTGTTAAGAATACGTAACGAGCAACGTAACTACGTTACACGTAACCAAAAATAAGTGACGTAAATATGTTACTCGTTACTGATTTTAAAAAGTAACGAGTGCGTTACTAGGCTACCGAGAAGAAAAAAAACGCGTTACTGGTAACGCCGTTACTTGGTACGCATTACTATGGTGCCTGGAGCGCGCCTCAGACTGGTGTGTGTTTAGCGTTCTATCCCGCCCATACATCAGAAGTGGTCCCAAAGGGGCAACAAATGACGTCACAGAAGCCGGAGTGCCATGCTGTTGCATGTCGCGATCCTGGCGGTTGGTCGTAGAAATGCTGGCGAAAACCACAGGCGAACGCGAGTGTCGCTGTCGTCACGGCTTTCCAGGCGTCCCAACTTTCGGCTGCTTTAGCTTCCGCGGACTGCCGCATTGGAGAGCGACCTGCAGCAGAACAGGCGTCATCCACATACACAACAGCTATTGGGACGCCGCCAGGTTCGTGACCGACGACCACATGACACTTCTATGACGTCATCAGGCGGCAATCGAGGGACCACTTTTTCGGACCCGGTAAACACACCAGTCGGAGACGCGTTCCAGGCACCGTAGCATTACCGAGAACACTGCTCCAAACTACAAATGCATTCCGTAACGGCGCCGACAAAATGTAAACGGGCGAAGAAAAGTTTCCTTGATGAAATCTTCGGGCGCGAAATAGACATCAGCTCGCTGTCTCAACAAATACGACTGCGGTTCTTTTTTTTTTTTTTCTAGATAGGTAAAATTTTGCGTTGAATGGTGCCAGCTACACAAGAACAGTCTACAGCAATTGGTTGTCATACGGCAGTTATTTTAGTGTTAATATCCCGTGGGTAACAATATAATATTTTGTTTTAATGTTTTTTGTTTCTTCTTTTGTGCTCTGCGATTTTTAATCTTAAATGTATGTAAAAATCACTTTACAAATACGTCTTTAGATATTCTGACTGTGTTGCTTACGTAATCCGTGTAGGCAGCTCAAAATACCAAGCTGTCTTGTATTTATATGTGTATTTACTTATTTATGTATTAACACTAAAAGCCTTTTATTCACTTTTTTTTTCATAAATGAAAATGCATAACTTGAACTCAAACGAGATAAATCACGCCTACATAGTTCACGCAACAGAAAATGTAAAAGAAAAATATAACCAGGTAGAATGGTTGGTGTAAAATATATAAACGACTAAATTTTCGCGAGGACCTAATTTTTGCGAATTTCGCGAATCGCCTACAATTCGCGAAAAATACGCCCCAAGAACAATTCTGGCAATATGTGAACGCTACGGAAACTACACTCGATTCGCAAAAATTAGAACCCGCGAATAATTTCAATACTTCAGCTTGGGTGAGTTGGTTAATCTTGCTAATACTTCACAGCGCACCAAAGACAACGCACCATCGCGGGGCGTGGAACCGGCACAGTCATGGCGGTGCCCTTCACGCATATTCGTTTTCTGCTGCTCATGCAGGTCGTGTGTCGTGGTGCTTCATCGCTATTGCAACGCAACGTCAGCAAAGACACGGAACATCCCCCACCATCGGCTACGCCTGTTTTCGCCTTCAACTCGGATCTTCTCGACGACACCACTCTCGCAACGTGTCCTGCACCCGTTTCTGGCCAGTGTCCGATCCCTGCCTACGAACCTTGGGAGGACAGTTTCGGTGTTTTCAGCCTACAAAAGGCGGAAATCGACAGTCTCGGCTTGGGGCGTGGAACCGGCACAGTCATGGCGGTGCCCTTCACGCATATTCGTTTTCTGCTGCTCATGCAGGTCGTGTGTCGTGGTGCTTCATCGCTATTGCAACGCAACGTCAGCAAAGACACGGAACATCCCCCACCATCGGCTACGCCTGTTTTCGCCTTCAACTCGGATCTTCTCGACGACACCACTCTCGCAACGTGTCCTGCACCCGTTTCTGGCCAGTGTCCGATCCCTGCCTACGAACCTTGGGAGGACAGTTTCGGTGTTTTCAGCCTACAAAAGGCGGAAATCGACAGTCTCGGCTTGGGGCGTGGAACCGGCACAGTCATGGCGGTGCCCTTCACGCATATTCGTTTTCTGCTGCTCATGCAGGTCGTGTGTCGTGGTGCTTCATCGCTATTGCAACGCAACGTCAGCAAAGACACGGAACATCCCCCACCATCGGCTACGCCTGTTTTCGCCTTCAACTCGGATCTTCTCGACGACACCACTCTCGCAACGTGTCCTGCACCCGTTTCTGGCCAGTGTCCGATCCCTGCCTACGAACCTTGGGAGGACAGTTTCGGTGTTTTCAGCCTACAAAAGGCGGAAATCGACAGTCTCGGCTTGGGGCGTGGAACCGGCACAGTCATGGCGGTGCCCTTCACGCATATTCGTTTTCTGCTGCTCATGCAGGTTGGTGCCAGCTTCTCTAAATGTTCTAAATTTCGTTTTGCTCTTCTGCCGGTTCCACCCCATGTTGTATTTGCTAACGTTAGATCACGCGGCTTGACCTGCCGATTTCGGAGAGGTTTCGTGTTGTTGCACAATTACGCTTTCTATTTCTTATTGCTACTGCTGTGCGGTGACGTTGAATTAAATCCCGGCCCTCTTTCTGTCGCGCAAGAAAATCAGCTAGTTGAAGCAATGCAACTAATTCCAAGTATGCACGAAGGACAAAAGACTGTAATAAACGAACTGAAAGCCATCAAAGATTTGCAAACCACATTCGAAAGAAAACTGGAGGGCTTATTTTCTCGTATAGCCATAATTGAGAGCGATGTGGCTGCAATTAAACCACTGAGGGGAGAATTTGAAGAACTTAAAGCGTCAAATCGGGAACTCGATACGCAGCTTAGAACAACAGCTTTACGTCAAGAAGAACTGGAAAATCAATCTCGGAGAAACAACCTGCTCATCTACGGTTTGCCCGACGTGGCGGCTGAAACCTGGGAAGCTTCAGAGGCTAAGGCTTTATCTTTTTTCGCCGATAAGCTCGATATACACCTTGAAGCTACTAGCATTGAACGAGCGCACAGGATTGGCCGCTTTGCTGCTGATAAAAACCGCCCTTTGATTTCGAAGTTCCTGTCATTTAAAGACAAGCAAAGGGTTCTTTCCAAGGCCTTCAAACTAAAACGAAGTGGTTTTTCTATAAGCGACGATTTTTCCCCTGCAGTACAGTTTGCAAGACGCAGACTTCTAGACTACGCCAGTGAGCAGAACGCGCAATTTAAATTGCGATACAACAAGTTAACTATAGGCAACAAAACGTATATGTACGATCCAGATAATGACACTGTGTTCGAAAGTGCCCGGTAACCACCAAAGCATACAAGCGGAAATGGAGAACTTAGCTTTCAAAAACTAGTCTTCATAACTGTTAACTGCAGAAGTGTTAAAAACAAAAAAAGACGAACTTGCCTTTCTTCTGAATTCAACACAGGCTGATGTGGTTATTGGTACGGAGTCGTGGCTTGATGGTTCTGTAGACAGTTCTGAAATATTTCCTGCTAACTATGAGGTCTACCGCAAAGATAGAAATCTAAGGGGCGGGGGTGTGTTCTTACTTGTGTCTACAGACCTACCAAGCACAGCCCTTGAATTTCACGACTGTATTTGCGAATCTGTTTGGTGTACAATCAAACTGCGAGGCTCGCAATTTCTCACAGTCGGCTCATTTTATAGACCACCGGGTAATAATGCACTGGATCCCCTTTTGTGTTTATCTAATACTTTGTCAGCAATAACCCCTGATGACGTCATACTTAGTGGAGACTTTAATCTTCCCGATATAGATTGGGTGGAAAATATACCTAATTTGCGTAATTCACTCTCTTCTCTTTATACCACGTTTGACGAACTGATAAACACTCATGAGTTGCAACAGTTCGTGTCCCTTCCAACAAGATATAGTGCACGGGAATCTATTCTAGATCTTTTTTTTACAAATCGTCCTTCTTGTGTGTCCTCAGTAATGACAACACCGGGCCTCAGTGACCATGAAGTTGTAGTTACACAAATAACTTGTAGGCGCGATGTCATCATCAAGTCACGCCCCAAAAAAGTGTGTTTTCGATCGGGGTGATTATGATAACTTGTCTTTTGACCTGTTGGCTTTCCTCCCCGAGTTTGAATGCTCATGTACGTCACTTGACATTGAAGGTTTGTGGTTGTTGTTTAAAAGTGTACTTATGGCTCTTATCGATAAATATGTTCCCTGTAAAATGTTATCAGGAAGGCGTAGACACGATAAACCATGGATAAACAAAAGCTTGCGTTGCCTCCTAAATAAAAAACGACGTCTGTTTCTTAAATATAAAAAAACAAAAAACCCGGCAACGAAAAGTGAACTAAAATGCCTCGATTACGCCTTTAAAAAAGAGGTTAAGGAAGCTAAACTGCATTTCTTCTCTACCCTGGGTCCCAGGTTGCTTAACAACCCAAAAGAATTATGGAAAATTGTGAAAAGAACGGGTAATAACGTAAGCATAGGTATACCCCCAATACTTCAAAACAATGAATTGACTTCGGACGACTTAGAGAGAGCGGTTTGCTTCAATAATTTTTTTCAGTCTGTTTTTTCTAGTCCAGCAGAGACAGACGAATTGGCCTTATCTATGTCAGAACTTAATGGGATGCCAGAATTTGTAATTGAGGATAATGGTGTACTTAAACTTCTTTGTAATTTAAAACCTCATTCAGCCACAGGACCCGATGGAATCCCTAACCACGTGTTAAAATCGTGTGCTACCGCGATTACGTCCTTCCTAGTTATATTGTTTAACAAATCGCTTTTCTCGAGCAAGCTGCCGTCGGATTGGAAGACTGCTAATATTGCACCCGTCCATAAGGCAGGACTTAAACGCGAGGTATCTAATTACAGGCCAATATCGCTGACTAGTGTTTGTTCCAAACTGCTAGAACACATCATATACTCAAATATTGTATCTCATCTAGAGTTAAATAATTATTTTACCCCGCAGCAGCATGGTTTTCGCTCGGCCGGGTCTGTCGTGCTCTACGCAGTTGTTTGAATTTGTCCATGATATTTCTCTCTCATTCGATAAAAATATACAAACTGACTGCTTGCTTTTAGACTTCCAAAAAGCTTTTGACAAAGTGCCCCACTCCCTTCTTATGCACAAATTGTCAACCTTGGGGTTACCTGGTTATCTTATCAAGTGGCTGAAAGATTATTTAACTGATCGTACTCAGTGTGTAGTTGTCAATGGTGTTAAATCCCCGTACGCAGCGGTTACGTCAGGAGTTCCCCAGGGGAGCGTACTTGGACCTCTTCTCTTTTTAATTTATATTAATGACGTTCCTCAAAACTTAACATCTAGTATTCGTTTATACACGGATGATTGCGTTATCTATCGGCAAGTTTGCAACGACGATCATTCCTACTTACTCCAGACTCACCTTGAAACAGTGGCGGCGTGGTGTAACAGGTGGGGAATGTGCCTAAACATTAATAAATGCAATTATATTCGGTTTACCAAAAAACGCAACCCTTTTCTATCAAGGTACAATCTAAACGGCACTGACCTTAAAGAGGTTACGGAGGTAAAGTATTTAGGTGTCTATTTTAGCAGCACTCTTTCCTGGGCCAAACACGTGGACACAGTAACGCTTAAGGCGAACCGTGTCCTAAACTTTATAAAAAGGAATTTTAAAATGGCTCCTGAAGATATAAAAGCTTTGCTATACACTACTAACGTTAGGCCTATCTTAGAGTACGCGTGTTCAGTGTGGGACCCTCATTTCCTCAACTTGTCCTCAAAAATTGAACGCGTACAAAATAGAGCTTCGCGCTTCGTTACAAATACCTACGCCTTTCGGTCAAGCGTCACCAAACTTAAAGAGCAACTTAACTGGCACTTGCTAGCTTCACGACGAAAGTGCTTGCGATTAAAACTTTTTAGAAGTATTTTCCTACGGAACACACGCATTAACAAGGATAAGTATCTTCATAGTCCTGATTACATTTCCTCAAGGGTATATCATTCGCTTAAAATAAAAGAAATTAGATGTAGAACAGAACTGTTTAAACATTCCTTTTGTCCAAAGAGCATTCATGAATGGAATGCCCTTCCTGAACTTGTGGTGACAGAAACCTCAGATGCCAGCTTTTCTTCTCTCCTATTGGACCTATAAAACTCCCTCAGTGTTCAATATCCTGTATTGTGTTTATTAGTTATACTTGTTTCGTGTTTTCTGTTAGTAATGTGCTTGCTGATTGTATTCCTTTTTTCTTGCAACAGATCTTTGATGTTTTTTGCATTTTTTTGTGTATTGGTGCTTTCAAGCACTATGTTTTACTTGCGTTTAACAAGTGTGATGCAACCATCTTTTATGTATTTTAACCCCCCTACTGTAATGCCCTCTGGGCGATGTAGGTACTGTATAAATAAGTATAAATAAATCAAAACAGATCGAATCGATGTTTTGATGGTGTGTTGTCTTTTGTGCACTGTGAAGTATTAGAATAATTTCGAAATTTCAGCTTTGGCCCGATTCGCGAAAATTTTAGCCCGCGAAAATTAAGTCGTTTACAGTATAAATTATGTAAAATAAGACCACCGCAAAAAAACAAAAAAAAAACACATCAGAGTGGTAAATAAGATCGAAATTTTCCGGACGCAGGTGGCCCGGGTACTGTTCCAGTGCCGGACCACACCCCATGAGATCACTGGCCGTGCCTTCTGCGAGCTTCTGCTGGGCCGGATGTTCAAGACCCCCTTGGACGTCTTGCATTCAGACCTCCGGTCCGGACCTTCAGGAGCGCGCGCTCCTGAAGCAGCTGAAGCAGAAGCTGGCTGCTGACCGAGGGTGCCGTCCCGGGCCTTTGCCGGAGCCGGGAGCGTCGGTCTACGCCAGGAACTTCCGTCCTGGCCCACCCTGGTCTGCCGGACATGTGGCTTCTCCAGCGAGTGCCTCATCGCTGCTCGTCCGCATGCCCGACGGGACCACCTGGCACTGGCACTCCGACCATGTCAGGCTTCGCTCCGGGACCTGGCTTGCACCCTCACCCGTCACTTCAGAGGACCAGCCCGCAGGGGGACCATCGACAGCACCAGTTGCGGCCAGTAGAGCGCCAACCAGCACGGAGGCGACAAGCGTCTCCACTCCTGTGGCGCCAGTTGGGCCGGTGCCACTCACAAATCCGGTCCCTGCGGCTCCACCGGATAGAGCGCGACCGGTACAGGCAGCGCCGGGCCCGTCGACTGCAGTGACCAGGCGGAGTACACGGCAGCGAAGGCCACCTGACCGTTACGCGCCAGGGGCGTAATCGACTGGCT